TAGCTGGGTGTGGTGGCTTGTGCCTGTAGTCCTAGCTACTTGGAGGCTGAGGCAGGAGAATCGCTTGCACTCAGGAAGTGGAGATTGCAGTGAGCCGAGATCACACCACTGCACTACAGCCTGGGTGACAGAGAGTCTGTCTCAAAAAAATAAAAAGTAAATAAGAGTGCTCACTTTGGCAGTGAATATACTAAAATTGGAATAACACAGAGATTAGCATAGCCCCTGTACAAGAATGACATGCAAATTTGTGAAGCATTCCATGTTTTTGAACTAAAGCAGAAACAGAAAACGAAATATGTAATGTTCTCTCTTATAAGTGGGAGCTACACATGGGGTACATATGGACATAAATATGGCAACAATAGACACTGGGTAAATACAGGAGGAGGGAGGGGGGGAGCAAGGGTTGAAAAACTATTATTGGGTACTGTGCTCACTACCTGGGTGACAGATACATTCATACTCCAAACCTCAGCATCACACAATATACGTTTGTAACAAACCTACACATGTACCCTGGATCCTAAAATAAAACCTGCTCAGTTTGCTCATAAAAAGGTAAATAAGAAATATAGATATTAAAATAGTTTTTTGACACCAAGAGTTAGAATAATCACACATCATGCCTGTTTCTTCTTCCAAAACACAGGGTCTCTTTTTGTGGGGGAGTGAAGTGGGAAGACCCAATCTTTCCTCAACCACTTCTATGCATGTCTGAAGCTCAGAGTATTGGAAAGAGCACCGGGCTTTTCCAACTGAGCAACCTTCAGCAAGTCATGTCATTTCACTACACCTCAGTTTCCTAGTCTGTATAGTGAGGGTGATAATAAAACATGCCTCATAGGGATGTTGTGGGACTTAGATGTAAAAATGCTTGATACAATCCTGATGAATTAAAAACTGGTTAGGTTTTTTTGGGGCCATTTTTGTTAAAGCATATTCATTTTAATTATTTTGTTTATTATCTGCTTTTTTTCTTAGTACAACTGACCTAGGACCTCAGAAGTTTTTTTATCTTCAGTATAACAGGATTTTCTCCACAGATTTCTGTAACCTAAGTTCACTATAAGCTGAATTCACTGGTCTTTTTAAAAGACCTTCAAAAATTGGAAGGACAACATGAGTCTATTGAGGTCTCATGAAAGTTGTCTTCTGTGTTGGTTTGCTAACTACAAACACGTCATTTCTACCATTTTCTGGGGTCCTTTAGTCTAGCTCCAGTTCTTCTCATTTTGTTTCCTAGCTTTTTACATCACAGCTTGTTGAAGAACTTGATTAAGTACGTTGTGTTCACTCCCTTCCTTTCATCTGTTGTCCAATTTATTTCTCCATGAACCGTTCCATTCAGTTAGTTTAAAGCCATCTGTTTGAGTGCTTTCTATATCTTTGAAACTTTTAGATGCTAAATCTATTAGTAATGGTTTAGAATTTTTCACCCTTTAAATGTTGGGCTAAATTCCTTAATAAGTGAAACAGAATGAAAGAAAAGTGTTCGGTATAAGTGTAAACTCAGGTGGATATCAAATGGAACCACAGAAGTTAAATAACTATATACACCTGTTCAAGGGACTAATTAAGGAATAGTCATAGAAACCAACTTCCCTGTTAGCACCAGAAAATGAACACTTCCTGCCAGATACTACAAACTATCATTTATTGACTGGTTCCTGAAAATTGAGAAAAAGGCAAAAAAAAAGTAAACCAGAAAAGCAAAAAGCTAAGGAAAAGCAGTAATGAACCTTTTTTTTTTTTTTTTTTTTTTTTTGAGACGGAGTTTCACTCTTGTTACCCAGGCTGGAGTGCAATGGCGCGATCTCGGCTCACCGCAACCTCCGCCTCCTGGGTTCAGGCAATTCTCCTGCCCCAGCCTCCCGAGTCGCTGGGATTACAGGCACGCGCCACCATGCCCAGCTAATTTTTTGTATTTTTAGTAGAGACGGGGTTTCACCATGTTGACCAGGATGGTCTCGATCTCTTGACCTCGTGATCCACCCGCCTCGGCCTCCCACAGTGCTGGGATTACAGGCTTGAAGTAATGAACTTATTAAAGAAGGCCACAGAAATCAGATGCACAAAAGAGAGTTTCATGAACAGATTTGAAATCCA